CAAAAAATGACTAAAACTAGATCATAGATCTAAATGAAAAATCAAAAACTGTAAAATTTCTGGAAGAGAATATGAGATCATCTTTGTAACCTTGGATTAGGCAACGATTTCTTAGAACATAAAAATCATCGAGGAAGAGAGGAGACCAAACTGGATGAGGACGAGGAGATGACACCAGACCAGACAAGACGAGGAACAAGAGACGAGACGGGAAGAAGAGGAGATTAGACTGGAAGAGGAGACAAGGCTGAATGAGGAAGAGGAGACCAGACCAGAACAGGAGACAAGACGAGCTGAGAAACAGGAGAGGAGACGAGACCAGATGAGGAGGAGATGAGACCGGAAGAGGAGACTAGACCGGAAGAGGAGGAGGAGATGAGATGGGAAGAGGAGGAGTAGATGAGACTGGAAGAGGAGGAGGAGATGAGGCAGGAAGAGGAGGAGCAGATGAGACCAGATGAGACCGGAAGAGGAGGACACAAGACAGGAAGAGGAGGAGGAGACAAGACCAGAAGAGAAGGGGAGGAGACGAGACCAGAAGGGTAAGAGGAGACAAGACTGGAAGAGAGGAGGAGGAGATGAGACCGGAAGAGGAGATGAGAACAGAAGAGGAGGAGATGAGACGGGAAGAGGAGGCGGAAATGAGACCAGAAGAGGAAGAGATGAGACCAGAAGAGGAGACCAGACTGGAAGAGAGGAAGAGGAGACGAGTCCGGGAGACGAGGAGCAGACAAGACTGGAAGAGGAGACCATACCAGAAGAGGAGGAACAGACGAGACCAGAAGAGGAGACCAGATTGGAAGAGGAGGAGCAGATGAGACCGGAAGAGGAGATGAGACCGGAAGAGGAGGTGGAGACAAGACCGGAAGAGGAAAAGGAGATGAGACCGGAAGAGGAAGAGCAGACGAGACCGGAAGAGGAAACCAGATCAAAAGAGGAGGAGCAGACAGGATCGGAAGAAGAGACGAGACTGGAAGAGGAGGAGCAGACGAGACTGGAAGAGGAGATGAGACCGGAAGAGAGGAGGAGGAGACAAGACCAGAAGAGGAGGAGCAGACGAGACCGGAAGAGGAGGAGCAGACGAGACCGGAAGAGGAGACGAGACCGGAAGAGGAGATGAGACAGGAAGAGCG